AGCTCCCCCTGCCCCGGGCTGCCACCCCCGCCGGCGCGCTGCAATGGGAGACCGCGGCGCTCGGGCCTCGGGGTAGTTTGGGGAGCGGCGCGGGGGTCTGTGAGGGGCTTGGAAACCTCTTCCCGTATTGGGGCGGGGGGGAAAGGGGGATGCGGCAGCCTCAAGGAGGGGGCAGCTGGCAGGCTCCTGGCAACCATGGCAGCGCCTCCCTCACGGGAATCTCGGCCCTGAGGCAGGGGCGCACCAGGGTGGCCCGCAGCCAGGTGAGGTTGGAGGAGGAGTGCTGGGGGGTGGCCCTTGGGGGGAGGGTTGGCAGGACTGTGGTAATTTTTTTTCTTATTATTATGATGATTATCATTATGTCTGGCAAAGGGGGGGCTTGATGCTAAAAGTTCGCCCGGGGCCGCTAGGTACGGTGCCGCTCCTGAGGAGGGGATGGGATACTAGCCTGGGAAAGGAGCTGCTTGGCTGGCAGGGCCTGGGTTCAGGTGAGATAGGCTGGGCTGGGCTTGGCCTCTGGGCCACTAAAGCAGTCCTGATGCAGGCAGGGCCCAGGGGGGGTTGTGGCGTGGAGAGGGTTTGGGTGACATCGTTTCAAAACAAAGAAATGCAAACGTTTCCTGAGAATTGTGCGTTTTGTTGCTGGGTCTCCTTTTCAGTTGAAGTCTAGTAGCCAGAAGATGGATGAAGGTGAAAAGGGAAAAACCTGGGAGCTTTTTCATGGATTTTGAATGTTATGCAGGAGACCCAAACTGAACTGTCCTCTTATGGGCTGCACAGGTTTTGGACTCTTACAAAAATCTTGGAGCTATTTAAGTGGGTGTTTAATCATCGTTAATGACGTTTGTGTAGTGTTGAGTTTTTTAAAATACCAACTAAAGGAAACAAGAGACGGTTTTGGGGCACTTTTCTGGTATTCACCCTGTGCTACTCTTCTATAGTTGCATGTTGTATAGTAAAATGTTTTACTTGAGTTTTAGTGCATTATAATTTGAAATGTAGTATCTACAGTCGTTTCATTGTAAAAATCTGCTAATGTGATCGGACTTCAAGTCAGCATTCATAAATGTCTAGAGAAACAGTTTCAGACTTCCTTTACCTTTTTAGGAAGCTAATATTAATTCAAACTTTAGTCATCAAAATGGACAGTGGAATACTAAAAATACAGATAGGACCCGATACCAGGTTGAAGTCTGTCCAGGGACTGGAGTCTGCTAGCATGACACTTATTGCAGGATCAGCACCTTAATGTAGCTTAAGGAAAGCATTTTTTTTAATCTCTAAAGAGGTTCATAGAATGATGACATGATTCCTGCTTTCCCTTCTTATAGAACCGGATTTATGCCAGTGCAAAAACTATGCATCCAGATACAGTATTTACTCATGCAAAAGAGCCTTCATAGTTCCATTTTTCTCCCTGATACATAATGTTGTTTGCAAGTAAATTAGAAGGTTGCCAAAATGCCTGATTCTCCTAAGCATAGGGGTGAACTGTCCTTTCAGAAATCAGTGATTGGCTGGGAAGTTGGTTGGGGCTATGATACTAGGCCCTGTCCATAAAATGTAATTTGTCGTTTTCATTTGGGAGGGACTCCTAAATTTTCTCTTTAATTTAATTCGTAGTATATTCAACAGGGTAACTACAGCAGGGGTGTCAAACTCACCTGGGGCCCTGTGCCCAAAAAATACTGTTGGGGTAGTGGATTATTCTAGTGAGGGCTTTCTACTGTTCAAATGTTCTGCTGCTCAAAGTTTAATGCCAAGCTTTGTTAGCTGTAACATCCAAATTTGGTGAGGTTGCCACAATTGGGAGCAAAGAGAGGCAGCCTCCAGTTTGATATTCAGGTGATCATAGATTTTAAAGGAAATTGGAATAGACTTGGACTCTGGGTAATAACGTGCATTGTCTGATGTGCTTTCCTATGATTTATGATTGACAGCTAGTGGGTTGCATATCAAGCAGCCTGTAGTTTGTGGATGCCTCTGTGTCAACCCAGGGTAGAATGCAAAGAATAGAACACTGAAACAATCTTGGGGCCCAGCATACTGAATTGCTGAAATTCTCTTCTTGGTATTTTCTGATGTTTTGCATCTGCTTTTAGTTTTAGGAATGTAGTAAAAGTTGTAGCCCCTACACAGCATCTCATGAAGTAAGCTACTGCTTACAGAAGCTTATGCATCTCTGATTTGGTCTATAAGGTGAAAATCTACTCTGCCTTCTGCAGGAATGTTGTAGCAATACAGCCAGCTGGCATACAAGGTAGTGTACAATTGTTTTGTGTGATTTCATACACCCATGAGTATTGAAATGATGACTCTTTCAGTCTTTGGAGAGTTGCATTGTGTTTCACTATAATCGGCCTTCTAATGGCTGCAAACATAGCCAAGAAAGAGAGCTAATGGGGTTAGGAAAAAACTCTTTTCTACATCCAAGTTACTTCATAATTGCAAGTTATGGCATTTTAAAAAAAAATTTCTTCTAAACTCTGATACTTTTTACTCTTGGAGAGAGGATACTAAAATAGATGCCTGTAGGTGCCTATCAGTATTCATATGGCAATTCCTGTTTTTCTAATGAATGAATAGTACAGTGATGTACTGTTCATCTGCCTGTTGTTCTGATCTTATTCATTCTATTTTAATTTTATTTGAGGTTCATATTATATATGCTAGTAGGAAGAGTATGCAATTGGGAGATGCCAGCAGTTACCATGTACTAGTAAGAGGTGTAGCCATAAACTAACTCGGTCTGTTATGTTGTAATACTGAGTACCTGGAGCCATTGAAACTCATTGAATTAATTTGTACAAATTCATATAGTTTTCATATAACATATTTTACTCTCTAAATGTATTTCTCTTCATTCCATTTTAATTAAACTAGTGAATGATCTAAGTGGGAAAGGAAAATGTCAAGTCTAAAAGGTGATATTTGTAGTTCCTCTGGAAAGTTTACAGTCACTTGAGTTTACATATCTGAAAAGTAATTTTGGGGAATAAATAAAACCAATTGACATTTGGTTTGACAACTTTATCAAACTACTAACAATTTCTTTCATAAGATAGGATGAATGGTTTCTTTAATTTCTATATAATATCCCAGTTGCTATACAGATGCCTGAGTTGGGTTATTCCCCTTCCTCTGCTCAAGGCCTTGTAGTGCTAGGCAATGGGAGGAAGTACTTAGAATATGTAGAGGGCATACACTTCAAAATAGTCTCAGAATGTGATGAATTAAAATGCCAGGCTCCCGTTACGATGTATGGAATATGGAAAGAAGCCTCACCTAGTACAAGAAACGGAGGTGTAACATGGTGGTAGGTTGCTTGCTGTACATATTGTGTTGTGTTAAGTAATGATATTGGGAACTTAATGGGAGGGCTTCATTATTGAATACTGGCATTTCATGTAGTAAGCTTCTTTAAAAGCCATAAAAGCAAATTGATAGTTTTAAGGATATCTATTTGAATAAAAAGAGCACTTTGACTTTTGCCTTTTTCCAAGGAGTATGCTGGCAACTTCTTAAACACTGTCAGTATGGTATTTTAATTTAACGTCAGTTAAAATATAATTTTTCTTTTTATACTGAAAAAAAAAATTATATGAAGTTCATAGAATGGCTACTTCAAATAGAATTGCATCTACATTCCCAACCTTTTAATGAGACTTTAAAGTATAAATAACTGAATATTGTCCTAAAATTATATTTTGATATGTGGCTTCAAGTACCAGGCAGCTTGCTTTTAGGTTTTTGAGCTACTTCTAATTTAAAATATTATATTTGAAATTTAGCCTTCTGGAACTTTTATCATTTGTCAGCTTGTGTAAATTAATAATGACAACTCTGAATATTTTTCACCAACTTGTTTAGCTGTTTTCTGAGTTAAATGGAGAAGAAAAAATGTGCACATTCTGGATATAAATTAGACATACTCTGTTAAATTTTTCAACAAAATGAAATTTTAAGAGTAGATTTTAAAGATTAATTCATACATTAACAGGTATTAATGCATACTTCTTCCAAAAAGGCTTAAGTTATTGAATACACAGTTTAGCTTCAGAAAATATGAAATGACTTGCCTAGCTTCACAGTTGAAGGATTATCCAGTTGCTTTTGGGGGGGGTTGTTTTTTTTTTTGTTTTGTTTTTTTTGTTTTTTTGAAGACCAAAATAAGAAAACGTGTAGTATCAATTTGCTGTTTCTGGCTGCTTCTGTTGGAGATTTTGGCTAAAAAGTTGGAGTTGTTTTACATAATCGGTGCTAGTTTGTATGGTGCATATTTCCCTGAAGACCTTCCTATTTTTTTTAAAAATAATTCGTTTTAAGGATTAAATCCATAGGTTTTATCTGCATTTTGGAATTTATCCACACTTCGTTAAAATAGTTCACATGCAAAGGGTTCTTCTGTACATGGGGTTGTCTCTAAATTCTCAGAGAACAGTAATATTCATTTCAGCGCTTTTATTTAGCCACGATTGCTAAACTGTTCCAACGTAAAGATTGGGATAACAGCAAAACAATTTTTGGGTCTGCCTTTTAAAGACAGCTTTGAAGCTTTTGCTGAATAAGAATAGGGGGACTTCCCAACTAAGAATGCAAACTATTATGGAGCATTTCATGTCTGTACTGTAGATCAGTGTTTCCCAACTGGCGTGCCGTGGCGCACTGATGTGCTGTCAGGCACGTCCATGTGTGCCACAGCATTTTGGGCTGTAGCCACGCCCTCTGCCTGCTGCAGACACAAACAGTGTGGTGCCACTTCTCAGGAGGGGAGGGGATACTAACCTGGGAAAGGGGCCGCTTGGCTGGCGGGGCCTAGGTTCAGGTGAGGGAAGCTGAGCTGGGTTTGGCCTCTGGGCCGCTAAAGCAGTTCTGATGCAGGCAGGGCCCAAGTCAGGGGGGTTGTGGTGTGGAGACGGCCGGTTGTTCTCGCCTTTGGGTGCTTTTTTTATTTAGGTAAGTGTACTATGGGGCGAAAAAGGTTGGGAAACCCTGCTGTAGATGACAGTCTTAGGAAAACACTTTGAATAGACACAGGGGGCATTTATACACATACCTTTTTGTCCTGCAGTGCACTAGAAATCTGGCGAGTTGGAGCAGACTCAGTTAATTGTCTGCTGACGTGCATTGTGCTGCATCACATACAGTTGTATAAGTGGTGAAATATGCATCAGCGCACAGAAAATGGTGGCAGTGCAGTTTTGAACTAAAACATCTTTGAGGTGTTTTAGTTCAAAAGTGCACCGCCTCCATTTTTTCAGTG